TCTCTCTCTCTCTCTCTCTCTCTCTCTCTCTCTCTCTCTCTCTCTCTCTCTCTCTCACACACACACACACACACACACACACACACACATTCTCTGTAATGATCTACCTACCTATCTATTCATCCATGTTCCACTTAAGAATTGACGTGCTGATCTGAGCCACAGAAAACACCAAGTTCATGTGCACCAAGTTGATGAAAACCGAGAACTCAACTGCTGATCCGATCTCCTAACTAACAAAGACACACACTACGCCTTAACCAAGGAAACCAAGTCCAGATCCTGCGCGCTTACTCAGTGAGCCATTGATGATCCCTGCCATCACAGACCTAACGCACGCTACGCCTTGCAATCACAGGCCTAGTGTACAACAGCATCGGATTTTGAACACCACACTTGGGGGTGCACTGATTACGTCCCCCAAGCACTCGACACACTCGGCTACTTCTCGAGTGCTGCTCGTTGCCAGCTGCACAGGTCGTCGATACTTGGTGTAACATCACTTCCTTCTGCCAACTCAACTTGACTGACGGAGTTTCTTCTGATCGCCACATATATCCTTCAGCACTGGAACGGACTCGATCTTTTAGTGACCTGTGTCTGTTTCGTTCCCACGCGCGGCACCTAAATCCTCTTGCCATTGCAATTGCCACAAGGTGCCAGCCATCTGAGCACCAATAATGGAGTCTTTTCACCATGGACGCAATTTCTGTTCGAGATCACCACACCTGGAATTGTAATTGGAACGTATTCGGTCCCGTGTCGTTCGCACACTCGGCACCGAAATCCTCCGGCATTACATGTGCCAGCCATCTGCCTGAATGATGGAGTTAGCACCAGAGAGTCGGAGACGCAATTTTGTGCCAAGACACAAGGACAGAAATGCAAAGACTATACACTTTGCCTTCTCCCTCGGCAAAATATCTCAACAACCTCTTCTTCACTCTCGAACAGCGAAACACACCACGCCCCATATACTCCTCCAGCTGGTGGTACACCATGCAATCTACCACCCATAACTGTACTTAGTTAAAATGACATGATCCTCTCCGTCCTCGGCAGTAGATCATGCAATCTCCTAGTACCCCACTGTAATTGTACAGCTTTTTTAACTTTTTTTTTTCGATTTCTCAATCAATCAATCATGTAGTTGAAGTGGACCAAGTGGTGATATCCTCTGTGTCCTGGGCGAATAGAGTCAATGGCACCGCTGACAATCGAGAGCAAGAAATGATCCCCCTGTGTTAGCAGCAACAACACTGTGGCCTTGGTGAATAGAGTCAATGGCACTGCAAGGCAATCGAGATCAGCATACATATAATTCCGTGTGTTGGCACTAACCTAGATTCTGAAGCAAAAGGATATATGTAAAGACTCTACAGAGATGATTAAATGCAAAAAAAAAAAAAGAAAAAAAAAAGATTATTGAATGCACATATTTAATGTTGGCGTCAACAGTGAATACGCACAGAGAGATGTCAGATACTTGCAACTTGTGTTGGAAGTCTGTCTTTTTGCAGCAACCCCACCCATCAAAAAGGGGAAAAAAAAAGGAAAAAAGGAAAAAAAAAAAAGGATCATGGACCGTACAAGGAACCGGATGGAACCGTCCTCATCGGCGGCGGTTGGTCAGTTAGTACATGTCGCGATAAAACTCGGCGCTCCTTGGTTTTCACCTCCAGCACTGTTCAAGCACTCTTAAGGGGCATACTCACACAAGTACTTTCCTATATGTATCTGACCGCCATGACGGCCAAACGTGGATGAATCTGACCGCAATCACGGCCAGGGCTTAGTCAAAAAAGCTCGCTACCTTCTTCCCCCGAATACAACGTACGGTCATTATAGCTGTATCTAGACTGAAAGATGCCTCAAATACAGCTATACTGACCGTACATTATAGCTGTATCTAGAGTCTAGACTCAAAGATGCCTCAAATACAGCTATAATGACCGTACGTTATATTCGGGGGAAGACGGTCGCGTGAGTTTTGCCCTTAAGAGCCTTGAAAATTGTTGTTGACAACTGAGTCACAGTCTTTTATGAAGAAAGCGACACAGTAGAACAGAGTACGTACCGTCTTTACCCGAAAAGAACGCCGCCCAGTGATTATCGCCGCATCTGGACTGAAAGTTACAGCAAATACAGCTAAAATGACCGGGCGTTCTATTCAGGTGAAGACAGTAGTGGTACGCACACACTCCAAGAATGACGATGAACCAAGGACGAGTGGGAAAAAGTCTGAAAAGACACGTAAGAACATACTCGCACCAGTCACATCAGAATTTTTTTGACTGCGCTGTGGATGGAATTGCGGTCAGATACGCCAAGGTCAAGGTGGAATTCCATTCAGATGCATCCAGGAAAGCCCAAGTGTGAGTACACCCTGAGAGGCCATCCTCCTCTTTTGGGTAGTGGCCGAATGCACTCCCAACATCATCACTATCTTGTGCGTGTGATTAGCACTGGCAAACATCACACTCGGGTGATGACAGAGACTCACATCATCCTCTCTCTCTCTCCGATGATCGCCATGAAGTCGAGGACAGAGACGAAAACCACATTTTTGGTTCGAATGCCCAACCACAGCAGAACTGATCCACCAAGTAGGCGCCAGCCTACTGATTGAAACTGGTCACAAAGAACAGTTTCAAGGAGAAGAATGGCTCTCCAGCCTGACAAAAGCAGTTTTCGGTTCCAAAATACAGGCTCGTTCTCACGGTTAGTCAAATCCAACTCCCACGTTGATCCCAACCCACGCAGTTCACAATCACAAGTGTCTGCAAGACAGCGACGAGATCAATAGCAAGCAGCTATAGCAGTTGAGCTATTCTGCCCAAGCAGAGAGTATGCTGGTTAATCTCCACTCTCTCACTATATATATCGTCACAAACAGAACTGCCCGGTAAACCGTAGGCAGAGAGAGAGAAGAGGACAACATATATGTATATATATATACACAGAGAGAGAGAGAGAGAGAGAGAGAGAGAGAGAGAGAGAGAGAGAGAGAGAGAGAGAGAGAGAGAGAGACTTGTAAAGAGGATGAGACTTGTCACATGAATAAAGCACAGGCAGGTGAAATGCAACAGCCAGCTCAGCTGGGTGAGTGGCAAATCATAAATCAGTCACAGCCGATTGAGGAACAGCCGATCGAGGAACAGAAATGCCAAGTACCCTAGTTGGTTGGCTTTGTCAGGTACCCACAGTGGGATATATTGACAGAATGTGGCCTCAACTAAGGTCAGATAAATTCACTCAAAGTAGACCTAGTGTCAGTACGCTGTGGAGACACAGAAACTTCATCTCACCTCTTGTATCAATTTGAAAAAGCCGGAAGAGGGGGCGGGGGAGCAAAGAGAGCCCGACAACCCCTGTGCTGAAAAGAAGGGCTTGTCAGAGTCTTCTTCCCAAAAACTGAACTACTATGATTGGCGGTGCCGGTGTGGGTGGGGGGAGGGGAAAAGGAGAGTGGGATGGAGGAGGATATAGCGGAAAGAGGAAAGCAGCCAGTCACCTCAGAACAATCTGAATTGAAGAACATAGTCTCTGAGTGATCGAAGTCGAAACACACAGTCTCTGAGTGATCGAAGTCGAAACAGCAAGAACCCAGCAAGAACCCCAATCTCACAACTCCAGACTAAGGTGCCATCAAATCTACCGCTCTGTCATAACAGGCATGGGCCATGCTGAGCGGTCCCCAGGCCTGTCAATACCTTCCACCCTAGACAGTATCCCGTTGTCACAAATTTCTGCACACAAGCACACACACATTTTCACACACACACAAAAAAAAAAAGTGGTTGTTATGGTGACGAAAACGTGTGTCAAAATCTACACACACACACAAAAAAAAAAAAAAAAAAGTGGTTGTTATGGTGACGAAAACGTGTGTCAAAATCTACACACACACACACACACACACACACACACACACACACACACACAGGAGGGTTCAACCAGAGATGCTTTTTCTGTAGAAGTAAGACGAAATAGTAATCGCACAGAGATGCTTTTTCTGT